AAAAAAAAAAAACCCAAAAAACCAAAACAAAACCAAAACAAACAAACAAACAAAAACAACAGAATGGTTGGACAACTCCACCAACAGTTCATTAGTGTACCTATTTTCCCACATCCCCTCAAGCATTTGTTATTTTTGAAGGGTGTGAGGTGGTATTTCAGAATTTGCATTTCTCACCTGTGGCTCCAAAAAGCTGTAGCATGCCTGGTCATACTCCAGTAAAACCATTTTATACATGGGCTAAGCCAGGTTGAGGGTAACTGACAGGCCTCAACCCCATTGGTGAATTAGGGGGATATCTACTCCAAGCATGTGAATACTTCCCTCAGTGTAACAGGTGGATGAGAAATTTGTTCTAAAGGGCCATGAAAGTGGTAGAAGCAGGCACTGTGGGGCTCTTAGAGATCAATCAAACATTGAAGAGGCCAAGGTCATCCACTGCATCCTAGGGTATCACCATGTTATAATTTTACTATTTTACCTGCCTTGAAGTCCTGTGGTGACAGGTGAGTGATGAAGAAGCAGGCACAGGTACACTAGGGAGCTGTAGTCAAAATCCTGCATGCAGTTGGCCCAGGGCATAGGGTCATCTTCTAACTGGATTGAAGCTTCAGTAGAATTCAGCAGCTCCCTGGGTCTCTTAGCATTTTTTAAAGGACCACATTACTCACCTCCTGGTATGAGAAAAGGGCTAGAAAAGGTACCTTAAAAATTGTTTACTTCACCTAAGTTTAGCCTGCTTGCTATAGCAAGCAGGGATTCCACCTTGTGGCCGAAACACAAAAAAATGTACACAGATTTTTGAGAAAATGATTCCATTCACCATTGGTGCATAGAATGGGCACACTCTCATGGTCAGTACAAAATCCAGTAGACCTGACAGACAAATAGCTCTTGTTGCAAGAGAATTAAGTGGGTACTACATCCAAATAGCTGCTCTGAGTGAAACAACGCTGGCAAATGAAGGCTAGCTCACCAAAGTCAAAGCTAGATACACATTTTCCTGGAGTGGCTACTTTGTTGAGTAGTGCAGTGAAGCTGATACAGGTTTTTCAACTAGATCTAATCTAGTCAGCAAGCTTGTACACCTCTCAAGGGGAGTGAAAGACAGGTTCATAACAATACAGTTGCCACTTGCAGGAAAACTCCATGCCACCATCATCAATGAATATGCTCCCACCATGATGAACCCTGACAAGGTCAAAGACCTGGGGACCCTCATCATCAATATGCCAAAAGAAGACAAGCTTACAATTCTGGGTGACTTCAATGCCAGAGTAGGCACAGACTATCAGACATGTCAGGGAGTGGAATTAGAAACAGCAACAGCAACAGTCACTTACTGCTGAAGACTCGTGCATCTCATGACCTGCTCATCACCATTTACCTAAACACAATGAAATGTCATGGATGCACCCTTGCAGTAAGCACTGTCATTTAATAGACTAGTGAAAATAGGATGTGAGTGATGAAGGTGATGTGTAATGTAAAGTGTTGGTCCGTTTATAGATTTATCTTCTCCAAGCTAAACATTCACATTCAACAAAAGCAGCAGCCCCAAGGCAAGCCAATTGTCAGGAGGCTCAACTTCAATAGATTAGAGCAATTCTTCATGCATGAACATTTTATTTCTGACCCAGAGGGAAAGCTGAGTCAACACACAACAGTGGAGTAGAAAAAGAGTGGGTGGCTTTCAGAGATTTGGTGCACAGCACCACGTTTACTCATCTGGTACAGAACACTCACAAACTCTAGGATTGGTTTGATGACCCAGGGAGAGGTGTGGTCACTACTCCCCTGGTTTGTTCTCTGGTTTTAACCCAGGAAGGGCCTCTGCTCCCCTAAAGTTACAAGTGCTAGCATTCCTCTCTGCCCTGGAACTGTGACCAAATCCTCTGCTCTCCTGCAGCCACAAGTGCTAATGCCCTCCCTGTCTTAGAGCCCACGACCTTGTGACTAGTCAGTCAACAAGTGCTCCTTTCTGCCCTGGAATTGCCACTCAGAACTGCATACGGGCAACAGAGGTACCAATCAGCACCAGCTGCACCCAGTGCCAGCAAAAGTCCCCTGTAATCTCTTTCTGACCAATTTTCCAACCCCCTTACCATCTCTGGGCTGAGATGCCCAAAACTGCTGCTGCTGCTGCTGTTGCCTCCAAGGCTTACCACTGGTGCTGCAGCCACAGGTGCTCCAGACTGGACCCCACCCTGGTGTCACAGACCTCTCCTGCCGACCTCCTCATTGTCTTAGGCTGGAAAAATGCCTCACTCTGACCTTCTGTTGCCTCTGTCATTCCACAATTCCATTTGAGGTGTTATTTTAAAGTTGTTTGGAGAGGAATCTTGGAAGTGTTCAGCTGGGTTATCACCTCTACTATCCTAGTTCACTGTAGTCATACCTTAGATTTCCACCGCCACCATTCCACTTATCTCAACTGAATTTGCAATTTGCAAAGAATTTGCCAATTCTTTGCCTGATTATGAACCATTAAACAAAGAACTCTCAGAGAGGGTGAAAAAATTCTAGATAACAGATTGTATTAGACAGAGCAAGAATGTTTGAGAGGTTTTGTGTTCCTAGAAATAGCCAGTAGATGGCACCATTGGCTCCCGTAATGTGGTCTTGCTGTGGGAGCCTGTCCAGATAAATTATTACATTTCAAGTTCAGTCTGGTTTCTCCAAAAGCATTTGGAATAATATAAGGCAATTGGTCAGTATGGCATATATGAATGAGTAAAGGTTTTCATATCAAAAATAATTATTCAATTTCTTTGTTACCCACCATAGGTAAAATAAGAGGCAGACATCTGAGGTCTCTTTATTGAGTTTTGAAAGAGAAAAAAAGGGACTTCATGTCAAATAGTTCTCAATATCCTGAAAAATAAACACCTAAATATAAAATTTGGGTAAAGTATAAATATTATCCAAGTAGACCTTGTATTGAAGGGAAGGCGGGGTTCTCCTCTGGAGTGCTATATATTCAGAAGTGAGATGAAGAATAGGACAGTTCTTGTTGACACATTATCTGGGAAGGGGTGTGGATGGGGTGAGGGAGGTTGAAAAATGTAAACTTCAACCATGGAGCACCTGGTTTATCTCTTAGCATGGTTTGTTAACTAAATTAGACAAGGATTCTCTCAGGGAATCAAAGACTACAGATGTTGACTCTCCTATAAATTCGTGGTGATTTACTACCCAGATCATAATCTATTAACAAAGGAATTATATAACAGTGATAGCAGGATCTATTTCTTCTTAAACTCATGGGAAACATCTCTAATACATATTCTCTTTATCATGTTCGACAACCAGGAAATTTGTGGTTTTATCACCCTCTCACTCCACTAAAATTTCATCATAATCATCCTGTAGAATCAACAGTTATTTTGGAAAGAGGAGCAGTACAGTACAGATACAATAAAGTGATTGTATAAGCCTTTAGAAAACCCATTTGACAAGGAAAATTCAACATTAGATGAATAAACTAGGTGCAATAGCATAGGCCTTTAATCCCTGGTGATAGAATAGGTTGAGGCTGAGGCTGGTGCCTAAGTTCAGGAGTTCTGAGCTACAGCAAGGCTAAAAGTGCACTAAATCTGGGGCCAATAGAGTGAGCCCCTTACAGCAAATGGTCACCATGCCGTCTAAGGAGGAGTGAACTGGCTGAGTTTTGAAATGGAGCACGTCAAACAAAGCTTATGTGTCAATGAGCAGTGGGGTTGGGCTGTGAGTGGCCACTGTCTTTCCAGCTTAGGTGAGATAGAGAGATGAGGGGGAAAAGAAAGAAAGAAGGAAGCAAGGAGGAAGGAATAAAGGAAGGAACAAATGAAGGAATGAAGGAAGGAAAGGAAGAAGGGAGGGAGGAAGGAAGGAAGGGAAGGAAAGAGGGAGGAAGGAAATAAGGGAGGGAAGGAGAGAAGAAAGAAGGAAGGGAGGAAGAAAGGAAGGAAGAGGGAGAGAGGGAGGGAGAAAGAAAAAAACACCTTAGAAGAAGAATCCTTACAAATTCACCTTTCCTTCTTTTTTCTTCTTTCTTTCTTTTCTTTCTTTCTTTCTTTTTCTTCCTTCCTTCCTTTCTTTCTTTCTTTCTTTTCTTTCTTCCTTCCTTCCTTTCTTTCTTTCTTTCTTTCTTCCTTCCTTCCTTCCTTTCTTTCTCTTTCTTTCTTTCTTTCTTTCTTTCTTTCTTTCTTTCTTTCTTTCTT